GTTGCCAACCCCCGGCATAGCCTTGGTCGCTGTGAAAGTAGCTAAATTCACAGTTTGCAGCAACAGCTTGTGCTTCTTGTTCAGTTGTTGCAGGTTGTGTCTCTTCTAGAGAGACATTGCTGAGACCACAGAGTGATTACAGATTGAGAGGGACAGCATCAGATCGAAGGCAGAGCATTTAATTTATCAGTTAATAACAATAACGACGCCGTCAGATGATCGGAAAAATGGCAATATTGGCCCCAGACTGTATACAGGCTAACTGTCTACAACATTGATGAAGTTATTTTTATATGCATGCATCACGACACAACGCAGAACTACGTAATGCAGCTCAATGCAACATATCTACGGAGGACAACACTTACCGTTGTCAATCGTTGTGCCATCGTTATTACCTGCACACACACAAACACACACAAAAGGGAAACATTAAAGGCCATCTGCCACAATCTGTTTCTGTATGTGCATTTGTATGGTTGCAGAGGAAAAGACTTACCATTGGTGAGAGGCTCAGTCAGGAGGTCAGTTGAAGGTGCTACACAGAAAAACAAAAAAATATTAGGACACAACTGTTACAGCTCCATACGTTTACTGATTTACATTTTTTTTCTATATGACATTATTTGACGCAACAGGAACTTCGCGGGAAATTACAACAGACATATTTTAGTGATTTCTGGCATTTTGTAGATAAAACTATGAATCCAAAAATTTGTAGCAGCACAGACATACACATATCAATATTAGCACAAAGTAAAAATCAGTATCAGAGAAATAAAGCACTTACCTGGCGTTGCACTGATAGCCACAGCATGTACATCTGTTAATAAACACAAAGTTAAAACGTGCTCTGACAAAATGACCCATTTTTATCTTGTCTTTACAGTCTGAGTGAAGTTAACCGTGCAAACGTTGCAGCCTGTGCATGACTTAAAGCAGGAAGGTGGCTTTCAGTTGTTCTTCTTAAAGTGAGTCAATCACAGAAGACATTCACCTTTGGGTTTCTGTCTTGTAATTTTACACGTCTGCATCATCACAAAAAGCCACATCAGCACTTCATTTTAAAAACACAACTTCAGTAACAAACATCACATAAAGCCCTCCAGCAATCAACACTGCACCTAAAAGTAAAAGAGCTGCAATGAACTAAAGGAAGTCTTGGTGGACTCTTCAACCATCCAACTGGACTCCACTTGTAGTTTGTACAGTGATGTTACAAAGCGGAGCAGCTTTCCTTGCCAACCATCTTTGGCTGAAAGCAACCAGACAGCAGCTACACTTCATTCTGAACCATCATCTGGTTACTTGTTG